CCTATGTGATTTTCCCTCTGCAACGCTTTAGTTAATTTTTACCTTCCATCAGTGATACTCAGCTCCTAAGCATGACAGACTCTTATTGAGCTGATTGGGACCCAAATGTAGTCATTTCATCACTTCTTGGCAGATGTTCACAAGCTACAGTCAGAGATCGGAGTAAGCTCAGCAAGGAGAAGAGAGAATTTCAAAGAAAGCTGCCAGTCTATGAGTGAATTATATCCATTTATAAAAATGATATTAATAGTTGCTTAAGAAGTAACAACAATAGAATAGAACATCTTCTTGGAATAATGATCTCTTTCACCAAGATATATACAGACTGAAAGATGAGACATTTAATGTAAAATTGTCAAGGCAAAGCCAAGCTCTGGATAACTCTAATCTGCAGTATCCTATAGGCTGGGGTGTTCAAACAATGAGGTGCAAGTTTGGGAGCCTTTTAAAATGAAAAGCATAAATTCATGTATCAGTACCTTCACCTACAACTCAGGGATTAGGTAACAGTACCTGGGATGGCCCACTCCGGAGAGGCTGGAGGGCGTCCTTGTGGAGATGTCTTTTTGATGGACCATATATCCAGGTTGGAGGCCATGATGCGCGGTGTCGTCTCCTGGCAGCACGCTGTGGAAAGATTGCATTCATTTCAAGGGCCTTTGTAAGCTCTTAGCAATAGTTAGGTCTAAATAAGGTAGGTTCATACATTCTTTGACCTAGCATCATAGGATAAGCCTCCATTAACAATTTTAGGAGGGGACAATCTATGTACACCAAAAGGAATTGATGGTAAGCAATACTAAGCGGAAGGCTTTAGACCAAGGCAGATGAAAAGGCAATACGTTTAACCAGTTGAATTTTACCTATCTTGTCAGTTTGTTCTATGAAATCAGAGGACTGGGGATGATAATTGCAGTGGAAATGCTGCAATATCAGCCAAGTTTTGCACTCCTGGTGTAGAATTTGCCTAGTAAAATGGGCTCCCTGATCTCTATGGGACTCTGAGAGGACTTACCTGAGACCCTGAGGTGCTAACAAAAAGATAACTGAAGTACAAGGGGCTCATGCAGGTGCCAGATGCTTTGATTTCTGAACTGTGTCAGAACATCAGGTTGTTGCTTCAGAGTCCCATCCTCATCGCCATGGGATGTCAACAGAAGGTTGTTGGCATCAACACCAACAAGAATCTCCAATTTGGGGTGTGGTGATGAAGGAAACTTTATTTAGTGCACACAACTCAATTGTGACACAGCTTGGCTGTTAGGTGGCCCTGGGGACCAGCCACTTCCGCAGCCAGACAGCTCTGCTCTGCTCCTCGTGGTCTGCTCGGGTCTGGGTCTGCTATAGAGAGAGCCCTCCAGTGTTTCATTTTCAGTGTTTCAGCTCCAGCAGGGGAAACATAGTTTTTAGTCCTCAGTGGAAAGGGAAAGTACACTCTTAGTCATTGTTATTTTAGCAAAGATTCTACCATTGTTGCTTTAGCAACAAAGATTCTGTCTGCATGGAAAGGTGGAGGAAAACCAAGAAAGAGGAGAATGGGTAACGATGGGAGGCAAAGGCGCTGGTCAGCGCTCTCACCATGTCGTTCCTAGTTCATGTTCTCAAATAGCTTAAAATCCCAGTTTTATACCCCATATATGAGTGAAATCATATGGCTTTTAACTTTTTCTGTCTGACTTGAAACCTATATAACCTTATTAACCATTGTCACCCCAATACATTTTAAAAACTAACTTAAAATTCCAGATCTCAGCAGGACTCCAAACCATTAGGATTTTACACACTGCTTTATATTTGCTTCATGATGTGGGTGAAGACAATGAAATAGTATTTAGTGTATTTGACTACTGGCGATTCAGGGAATCACGGACTTTGGAAGTTCAGTGAACGGACTGTCACTGTGTCAACACTGGGTCCTTTTATGTGGATATAGCACTTATCACACTGCACTGTAAAGACGGAAGCCCTTCTGTTCTCACCACTAAGCCATGCTGCTCAGCTTTTCTGTGTGTCGGTGGCTCCTAGCACAGTGTCTGGCACATCAGATAATGAATGTTTGTTAAATAAATAAAAACTCATATATGGAGATGAATTCAGATAAAATGGAAACAAAGTGGGTTTCTGGAGTTTTCAACACTGGTATGTGAAGCCTACTTTGGCATTTTACCCCGAATTAATTGTAGTTTTTAGAGTGATACAGATAAAGTTGATTGGTTGGGTAGGAATGAAAAATTCCTGCATGAGAGGAAAGTTGTACTTATGTTTTTACGGAGAAATTGTGTTCTGGAGGTTTTTAAGTCAGAACATTTTTGAATATAGATAAGATTTGGATAAAATAAAGTAAGAAGGCTGGCATAAAAATGAGCAGATAGGGAGTAGGTGGGAAGGATGCACTTAGAAAACCACGATTGGTAGAAAATGAGAAAATAGCTGGATTTGACTGCATTTCTAAGACCACAAGAGCAGAACATAGAAGAGGCCTTGGGAGCGTTCCTGGCATGAGGCTGTCTGTAAGTTAGGGTGTGCAGGGAGCCTTCTGCTCGCTCTCTAGCCTCCTCTTGCAGCGGAGTCACTGAACGCTTCGTTTCTTTTTATCAGTCTGATTGGTGCAGCGGGGCTTTAGCACTTAGGAAGAATTTGGCCAGGGGACGGGGTGGGGGTGGATTCTGAACTCCCTGCCCTTGCCTGTCACTGTTTGTTTTCCATAGTGTATTTTCTTGCCCCTTTCTGTAACCAGTTCTGATGTAGATGCTGGGGGAGCGGACCACAGCAGCAAAAAGGCCACAGCTCCTGCTTTTAATATAACAAGCTTTTAATATATAAGCTTTTAATATAACAAGGAGACAGATACTTATTGTTTGGTTATTTATTTAAGTTATTTATTTAAATCCTGTCCCATTTCTCCTTTCTCCTATCGTTGTAGCCATTTCTCTTTAGTTTTCTTTTCCTCTGCCTACGTCAACTTGTCCTTTTGGTACCCTTTTCTGAGCTTTTATTACACATAATAAAAATATGTGTAAATTCTGTCACAGCTGCAAGAGGACACATTTATTTCTTCTTGGGGGGGTTGGAGGAGAATGTGCTCTTTGATCGGGATCTAGAACCGAGGGTGATGGGGAGGGGACGTTGCTGGTAGAGGGAAAGCTTGATCAACAAAAACGAGGGGCCATGCGTGTGCAGGGCTTGCTCTACAAGTGAGACGTAGTCTGGCGAGGTATTACAGGAGTGAGCGTTTTCCCCACCAAGGATCACTTTTATTATTTGGTTCCCAGGGACTCTGTTTTTTGGGGAAATTAACTGTACTTATTAGTTTTACTGTTTCTTTCTCAGCATCAACCCAGATTTTAATCAGTCATCCATAATAATTGAGTATTCATAAAAATAATAGAAATGATGAAAATTTCTAGAACAGTTGTAATGCTAATAAACAGCCAAATTAAATAAGCTTGATAGACAATAGTCTTTATTTCGCACACCAACGCTGACTGGTCAGACTCCCTGGAACACTTATGGACATTCTGAGGCCTTGTCTGGATTTAGTGAGAGAGATGATGGGTTTGATAGTGATTTCCCCCAAGGGCCCAGAAGGGTGTGGTACCTTATGTGCCACATTTACTACCTCTGCTGTGAACCCATAAGTGTTGTTCATTTTTTACTGATCCCTTAATCTCAGCTGTTATACCCTGTTTACAGCCAAAGTTGATTATACACCAGATTGTAGTGCTGTGACCACCTGACACCTGATGTTATCAACTACCAGTCAGAACTTTTGATTAACACACAAACTAGAGTTGATATAATTCTAGCTAGAGGCTGAGCACTCACAGTTTAATTTAGCTTGTGCAAACTTCTCCTGGGTAAGCGGAACATTCTGAGAGACTGACTGCGCAGAGACCCTTCTTGCATTTTCCATAGACTTGGGGGATCTACTGCTTCTAGGTAAGAAGCCTGCCTGGTGTGTCGTAGGCACAGTGTTTCAGGAGCCAGGAACGCAGTTTGGGGTCACAGGGTGGACAACCCTTTAAGCTGTGTTCAGGAACTTGAACTTTGTGTATTGAATAGTTAACAGGGGTGTCAGAGTGGAGTTTAACACAGATCTGGTGTTGGTTCAGAAAGGACATTCTGGGCACAGTACTGAGGACGGTTGGGAAGGCAGAAGGCACTGGCGCCTGAACCGGTTCTGTTCCCACCGTCATGGTCTGGAACCTCGTCATTCCTCTTCGGTAACTTAAGAATCTCTTGGTTCACTTCGCATTCCCTTCCCTTAATTTTCTTCTGGTAAAGCCACGGTCGCAGCGTCCTCCTTTGCTCACTGTGACTCTCCCCTCCTCTCCTTACTGCGGCGCAGGTCCCGGTGCCCGTCAAGGTGAACGGGGCTCTCCAGGCGTCAGGTCTGAGGGCTCCTCCTTCGTCCTGGAACTTTTTGTGGCATTTGATGCTGACCATGTGGCCTCTGCTGATGTAGTCCTGTCCCATTTCTCCTTTCTCCTATCGTTGTAGCCATTTCTCTTTAGTTTTCTTTTCCTCTGCCTACGTCAACTTGTCCTTTTGGTACCCTTTTCTGAGCTTTTCCTGATGAAACTCACCTAAATCCTCGACAGTACCAAAATCTGCATGTTGTCTACGTTCATATTTTCAGTTGTCTCTCATCTGTAGCACAGGTACCCAGATTAACCACGTCTGAAATCACTCTCGTTAATCTTCGTTAAAGCTTAAATTTTAAAAGAAGATATAACCATGACTCTCATACAAATACAAAATGAACACATATCAGAGATTTTATTTAACTTATCAGTTAATGAGGGAACCGGCAAGATATTAACATTGGTTCAAAAGAGGAAAAATGCCACACATTTATAGTCAGACAAGGGCTGCTGACCTGCCTGCAGGACTGGCCAGTGCCAGGCGATGGTCAGTTGCATTGCACCGGACACAGCTTGTCTTTCTGTGAAATAGGAATTATTTGCACTACTCCCAGTTTTCCACAAGTTACTTCTGTCTTTACAGAAGTAACTTTTAAAAGACAAAGGCATACCCCTTCTACGGGAATAGATAATCCCTGGAGGCTCCAGAAATTGAAAAGATGTCCCGTAATTATTTTTTCCCCCATTTCAAAAATTTCCAGTTTTCCCTCTCGTCTTCTCCCAATTTGCTGCCTTCATGCTCTGTTCTCTTAGAGTAACACGGTCCACACAGTCACTGTAACTGAGAACGTCACTGTCAGGCGGCACACGATTGATTTTTGTCCTTCCTCTATCACCAAGTCCTGTTCACCTGCCCCTTAGTCTCTCAAACCTGTGTCTCCCTCATCCCGTCCCTTCCAGTGCTACCAGTTATCCTTCAGGATACCCGCCCCTCAGCGCCGCTGTCTCATCCTTGGAAACGCTCTCTGTCGCTGGCGCGCAGTGCCAGCCAGCATGGCAGCCTGGCAGCCTGGCACGCGGCGTCCTCTGCAGTCCTTGCCGAGCCTGCGGCCCGGCCGCGTGTCCTGCGCCCTCGGAGCTCCCGGTGCTCCAGCTTCCCTCAGCCCACTGTAGTCACCGAGGACTCCGCACCTGACACTCGCTCTTCTGTGCCTGGAGCAGGGTTGACGACCCCTCACTGGCCTTTCAAAGGCCAGCTCTCGCTCTGTGCCTGCGGGTCCCGTCCCCTGGCCTCGGGCCGAGGGAGGCAGCCCCTGGTTCCTCTGCGCACGGGCCTGCGCTTCTCTTGCTCGCTAGTCTTCTGGGTGGGAGAGTTCTTGAGGCTGGGACCTCCGGTGACTTGTCTGTTGATCCCCTTTTGAGTTTAGCGCAAGGCCTAATAAGGCCCTAATTCAGCATAATTACTTGCTGAATTGAAAATAACCAAGGTGTTTAAAAGCTCAGGTAACCAAGTTGATGGTGATACTGTCCTATTAACTGAGACACGGAGACAGATTTGGGGTGGGAGCACGCTGAGTTTGAGGTATTTCTGTTACATTTAGGAAATGATTCAGGAGATACTTGAAAATAGGTGGGCACAGGAAGAACAGGTCTGAGTGTCACCGGTATACATGTGATGCTACAGGTCACGCTAGTTGCTGAGTTCACACGTAGACTGAGAAGAAAAGACGCAGGAGAAGGTGGCTGCACCCGCGGCTGGCGGGCAGGGAACAAGAAAGTAAACGGAGCCGATGGCAGTTAATTTGCCTCCTTTTTCGTAGGATGTAATGGCCCGGAAAAGAAAAAATTAGGGGAAGAGATTTTTTTTTTTAAAGATCATGTGTATGTGTGTATTTCTTTTTTTCTTTTTTTAAAAATACATGTTTTTAAGACCAAACAAGATATTACTATGCTTTACTATTGATTCCTGGCCTTTACCATCCTAAAGTGGTTTTTACTATCTGTGTAATAGAAACTTTTTAATGTAAAACTGGCTGCAATATCAAATTATTGCAACTTATGTTCATTAAAATGAAGCAATTCATTATTTCCTTCAAGGGCAAGAACATAATATATTTCTTTGCCTCTGGGGAGGGGGGAGCGACGTTTCCTGAGAGAAGGAAGGGTGCAGTGCTTTCTTTGCTCGTGGGTCTCCTCTTGTTCACTTTTGATCTAGATACTGGTGGTTATGTTCCAGTCCTCCTGCATATGCCCACGAGGATTGGCAGTGGATGGACACCAGCAGCAGCACCATTTTTTCCTGTAGAGATTAGAAGCCAGGAGCTTATTGCCCAGCTTGTCAAGGCTCAGGACAGAGAGGAAGAAGCAAGTATAAAGGTTTTGGTTATGGAAAGAAGTTGGAATCTTCCTGACCCGGGGACCTTAAGAGCCACAAAATTGCTGAAAGAAAAAGTACCACTTATTGAAAGGTAAGATATTAAACTGTTTTAAGGTTTAAGCTATTTAAGCCACAGTAGCTACTTTCATATTCTATGACGTCAAGCAATTGTTTCTGCTAAACTCAAGTTTTTGTGACGTAATCACCCAGCCAGCCCTCCTGGTGAGATGGAGACCCGTGTGGCTGGGAGAGGTTTATCGTGAGGGATGTAGGAGCCTTTACCAAATCTCACTCGTTTTTAAAATGACATCTACTGAGTGCCAGGCATTGTGCTAGGTCTTGGATATACAGAGATTGACGAGTCACCCCCACGCACCTTCTAGAAGCTCTCACTCCAGAAGGAAAAACTGGTGATTACAATGTGATAAGTGCTATAACAAATAGGTGATATGTGTGGTAAGGTGTCTGACTCTATCTGAAGGTGTAACGTTTGTGTCCTAAAGGATTGATAGGAGCTCATGAGGCTGGAAGGAAGGGATGGGCATTTGAGCTAGAATTCTGTGTGCAAGGGCAGGCGTTGAAAGCGTGCTGGATTGGAGGGCACACTGAAGTCCAGAAACGACTACCTGAATGCTTGCTGTGGACAGGAGAGGGGAGAGGGATGAGATGTTGCTCGGTAAGGTAAGGCCAGTTACGGAGGAGGCCTTGTTGGTTGCCAAGGGAATTTTGCTTTACCTTATTAGCCATGGAATATTTTCTTAAAATGTGGGACTACCGTAGTTCCAAGATATATAGGAGAAAAAAATAAATGTATGGTGTTAAAATCAGTATATACCTGTAACAAGTCCCTAATTGGGTCCCAGTCTCTGTCTTTTCTTTTTTGCTAATATTCCTGGTATCCTTGTGTTTTTACTAGAGTAATTCTAAACTCTGTGGGTTACTAATGAGTAGGATTTTGACTCAGACTGTTAGAGCTCCTAACTCTCCAATTTGTGCCAACCTTGAACACCTTCTAAAGTATATCATGCCTTAGCCTGAAATCATTTTCTTCATTCTGGAGGGAAAGCTACAAACTGAGTAAAGATTCTGGCTGATTAAATGCTATAATAAGGAGGTGGCCAACCTTCTTGTCTCTAATCATGACAAAAACAGGGTCATAATTCTATGGTGACTCCAGGGAAAAGAAAACCATCCTAAGAGAAGTCATACTTGGCCCCGAAGCCTTTGCAGGAATGAGGTCGTTCGAGGGCTCATTTGTGGGCTCTGGTTAGACTCTATGGGCTCTGGTTGCAGTAGGGAAGCCAGACACAAGGTGGTTTGGGAGTTGCTGGCTGCTGGAGCATTAGGTGACCATCCTGTTAGAGGAGGTCAGGACTTGATCACAAATCTAGGGACCAGTAGGATCCTCGATCACCAAATCTAGGTGACCCTTGGGGAAGATCTGGGTGACATGCTGGAGGAGGGATATCTGCATTCTGTGGATTGTGACCTTCACCGAGACAAGAGAACAAAGAAGCAAGGATAGCCATTGGATGCATGGCATTCACACAGCAGATTTCAGCCACACTCAGAGGCCTTGCCCTGTACTTCAACCAGAAGCACAGTCCGGCTGGGGAAGGCTCCGCATAGATAGTGATGCTGGAGGCCGGTAGAACTCCGACCTGTGTGGCAGTCAGTTTCAAACTACCTCGAATCTAGTCGGAGCAAGGAGAAGAATCGTGTTTGAAGAAATACATTTTAAAAGGCATCTGCCAAGATTGGGAGGTTGAGTTAAAAGCCACAGATTTCCGGCCAAAAGCAGAGCACTTCTATAAAATTAGCCCCAAAAGCAAAGAAATGGAGAGAGAATGAAAAAATTCTCAAAGGATGTCTTGAAGTTCTCAAAATGCGATACTTCAAAAGATGTGGGCTTTAGTCTGCAGAGCTAACATTGTGGCATATAAAGTTTTACCCTCTTTAGGTTACAAGCTCTAGAATATACTGATGGCTTATAGAAGGAATAATTGGTTCACAGTTGAGTTGTGTGGCAAGTGCCACAAGAAAATCTTTTTTGACAGATATGAACATACAAGGAATGAATTGGAAAGTAATATCAGCCTGAGTTCAGGCCTTCTTATATAACAGACAGTTCTCATCTTGGCCCTCTATACAGTGTCATGGGGAGTTTAAATGTATTTATATCTAACTATACTAGGTACTAGTTTATCTGGTTTCAAATTTTAGTCATAAGTTTAAAATATTTTGAGTGTAATGAAACAGACTTATCACTAAAAATGTGCTTTCAACTTTAGAATTCTTAGTAGAAAATATACAATGATTTTAATGGGTACAGGGAAGATTTTTCACTAGCAAATTCATTGGAAATCTACAAAACTACGTTTGTTTTGGAGGACTCAGAAGGAGGCCCTGAGCAGACCCCAGGAACTCTGTTTACAGTAGCAGAGCACCAGGTGTAGATTTTGAAATGTCTTTGCCTGAGAATTGGCAGCTTTATGGATGTTAAATAATTCATCCTAAAAAAAACAAATACTCTAGGTGGAAAAAAGGTTTTGTTTTAATAATGGCTTCTGTGTACTCACTTATAGAGAGTGAAGAATTTGTTATGCTTTTAGTCTTTAACATCTTTTGGGACACAAGACAGAATAGGTTTCCTGTGTGATTAAAAAGCAATTCATAACCCAGTTTAATAGCTCTTCAACTGATGTGGCTCAGTAAAAGAGTGGCGTTTATCCATTAGAAATTGATTACATTTAGAGAAAGTTTTAAGAAGTGTTTTATTTGTGAATATTTGTAAACAGAGCAGCATTTCAAAGTGTTCTAATTGTTCCAACATGTTTGTATGATGGAGAAAGATTTACATGTTATTTATGAACTGGGCCGTGACCAGGTATTATAATAGTAACGTACTGTGTATTTGTAACATGTTTTTGTATAATGTGTGTCATTTGATATTAAAAACAACACTGAAAAATTAATAGAGCAGGTATTATTATCTCTATTTTACAAAAAAAGGTGAGGCTCAGAGAGGCTAAAAATGTCACCTGAAGTCACAAAGCTAGTCTTTGACCACTATACTTACTGCATAGATGTTTCTTTGAGATGAGCATAATTCATTTTTATAGGCACAAATTGGCTTCGTCTGCTTTTTGTTGTGTTAATCATTGCTTTCAACAGGAAACTTTCTACATAAGGCTGGAAAATGATTGTGAATGTGTACAATAGAGACAAACATCTTTCCCTGTCAACAGTTATTGAGAGTAGGTGTCAGCATGCGCTTAAGTTACAAGAATGTGAAGACATCTCGTTAGCACAACACTGGCTAAAAAGGCATCATTCATTGTTATTAAAGTGTTTTTATTTTTCTAGGGGGACTAACAATACTCAAGAATTTAGGGAGATATTTTTTATTATGCTTTATAGCTACCATTAAAGTTCTGGAAACAAATCTATGTGTGTCTTTGAAGAGGGATGGGACGTCTTTTGACTTGGATAGTTCTGGTGCTTTTACTCGGATTAACCTTATGTAATTATAAAACTCTAGATCTGATATAACAGATTATAAACTGAGGCCATTTTGGGAAATGTCTATGCATTTGGACATCTTGTTATTTTGCAGGATGAAGAAACACGAAAAGATTATGACTACATGTTGGACCACCCAGAGGAGTACTATAGCCATTACTACCACTACTACAGCAGGCGCCTGGCCCCCAAAGTGGATGCCAGAGTGGTGATTCTGGTCACGGTGTGCGCCATCTCAGTGTTTCAGGTGTGTACTGATGGACACGTATGTCTGCATGTATGTGCTTGAGTGTGCACTGTCTGGGGCTAGTCATTGAAACTGTGCTAGAAGTGCCTTTCTGTAAAATTTTACTTCCAGTTGAGATATTTTTACATCAGAAGAAATACTCATTTTTTTAAACCAATGATAATATTGGAATCTTTATCAGTGGAAAATCCAAGAAATTGATGAATGTCACTATATAACTACCAAAAAAACCCCAACAAAGGATCTGTCTCTCATAGCCTCCTTCAGAGTGTTTTCCACACAACAGCCACATTCAGTGCCAACCCGATCATTTCATTGACTTTTGTAGAACGTGTCAATAATTTTCCGTTAAACTTGGGAAAAATCTGAACTTCTTAACACGACCCAACAAATTGTGGCACCTGTCCACCCAGTGCCAGTTGTGCTTGCCATCGTTGTCACCACCAGGGACGTCCCTAGGTTCCCAGATGCCTGCCCATGTGCCTGTGCTCAGGCTCAGCACTTCTGGAGTAGGTTAAAGAGCCTGACCTTTTACGTTGTTTTCAAATACCACAGACATTTACCTTCAGCCTGGAAACCACACCTATCCTGTGCTCCTTGAGGAAAAGAACAAATTGAGATTAGAATGAAGCAGTTTGCTAGTTTGAAAACTGCTTCTCCAGTTTCATTTCCAGAATGAGATTCAGTTTCTACAACAAAAAGGATTTCTTCTGAAAACTTACACCGGTTATGGATTTTAAATGTATCACCTGTTGTGAAAGTGTTGTCCTTTCAAAGGGGGAGAACAGGAATAATTTTACTTTTCTGTTTTAGATAATGTAACCCCCTAGTAACTTTTTTTTTTTTTTTTTTTTTGCTATTCCTAATGTTTTGCTGCTATAATATTTCAGGATATTATTGGCATAACTGCTATATTCATTCAATAAAACAGCAAACAAAATGTATGAAAATGTAAGGAACAGGACTTTTTCTGACAATAAAACTTTCTGAGTTTGAATGTATTTATGAAATAAGTTAGATGTTTTCCTGTCCAAATAAGTAAAGAGCAAACACATTTGAATCTCTGTTCTGAATACGATGAGCAGTAACCGTGGTGCACGTAGTTGGTTTAGGGAGGGGAGAGGAATGGATACAGTTGCCTGATTCTATACCCTGTGATTTCTTCTTTTTTTAAAATGTCTTTATTGATTTCAGAGAGAGGGAGAGAGAGAGAGAGAAACATCAATGATGAGTCATTGATCGGCTGCCTCCTGCACACCCCCTACTGGAGATGGAGCCTGCAACCCGGGCATGTGCCCTGACTGGGAATGGAACTGGGATCTCCTGGATCATAGGTCGATGCTCAACCGCTGAGCCACGCTGGCCACACTATCCTATGATTTATTAAAACAAGTTCCTCACCAGCTGTTTTTATAACTCTTCCCTCAGTAAGTAGACTGCAGTCGTGAGAGAGAACTAGAGAGAGATTTCTTAATAGTGATGCAGGGAAGAGCCAGATAGTAAAGTCACAGGGGTGTGAGTCCATCAGTCTGTCTATCCTCTGATCTTGGGTAGCTCCTGTCTGATATAATGGCCTTTTGGCTCGGCTCAGGGCTTACCTGACTTATCCAGCCTTGTACACAGAGGCATTATTCAATTATATCTTACACTTACAGAGTAAAATGACTGAGGTCCCTGTTTTTTATCAGAATAGGTTTAGGGGGGCAGTGGTGCTCACCAAGATGAATTTTGGTAATAAAAATGACTCATTTTTCTTTGTTAAATATTTTAGTTTTTCAGCTGGTGGAACAGCTATGACAAGGCTATCAGCTACCTGGCCACAGTGCCCAAGTACCGCATCCAAGCCATGGAGATTGCTAAGCAGCAGGGGTTGCTCAGAAAAGCCAAAGAAAGGGGCAGAAACAAAAAATCCAAAGAGGAAATCCGTGATGAGGAGGAGAACATTATAAAGAACATCATAAAAAGTAAGATTGATATAAAGGGAGGCTATCAGAAGCCCCAGATACGTGACCTGCTCCTGTTTCAAATTCTCTTAGCTCCTTTTCACCTGTGCTCATACGTAGTCTGGTATTGCCGGTGGGTCTATAATTTTAACATCAAAGGCAAAGAATATGGGGAAGAAGAAAGACTGTATCTCATACGCAAGTCTATGAAGATGTCAAAGTCCCAGTTTGATAGTCTAGAAGACCATCAGAAAGAAACTTTCCTTAAACGGGAGCTCTGGATAAAGGAGAATTACCAGGTGAGTACCGAACCTGCTGTGACTTTTGTGTCACCTTCCTTACCAAAGTACAATTAGGAGTGTGATAAGGGTCACAGAAATGCGCTCAAATTTCTGAAATCCAAGAGCTAAATAATGAACAAACATCTTACTTTTGCCCTGACCAATGTGGCTCGGTTGGAGCATCCTGCTATACACCAAGAGGTGGTGGGCTCGATTCTGGGTCAGGGCACATGCGGGGGTTTTGGGCTCCATCCCCAGCAGGGGGCGTGCAGGAGGCAGCCAATCAGTGACTCTCATCATTGATGTTTCTATCTCTCTCTCTCTCCCTCCCTTCCTCTCTCTGAAGTCAATAAAGATATATTTAAAAAATAAAAAAATAAGGTGGGATTCTTTAATATTGGGCATTAATTGTAGAGAGGAAGTGTTTAGACCCTTTAAACTCAGTTTATGTCTCATTTCAGTGAGGGCCAGTGCTTGTACAGGTGTTCTTTTGCATTTAACGCCGAGTGTTAAAGTGCTGAGTCGCTTAGTATTTTTAGTATGTGGTCTTTACGAGACGAACCTATATGTTCAGGGGACACTTTCACCTAAGCTTATATTTGAAAGATGTCAATATGCCAATAAAGCTACTGACAGATGTTTCCCTTTGGATTATGAAGTCAGTTGGTGTTATTTATACTTACAGGTCTACAAACAGGAGCAAGAAGAAGAGCTAAAGAAAAAACTGGCAAATGACCCCAGATGGAAGAGGTACCGAAGGTGGATGAAGAGCGAGGGGCCCGGCCGGCTGACGTTCGTGGAGGACTGAGAGGCGGGCGGGGCTGAGGGGCGGGGCGGGGCCTTCCTCGGGGGTCTGCACCACCCAGTTGTTTTAGAAATGCATCAGCTGCTCCTGTGCAGTCACTAAATCCCTCAAGCATTTGGTTAAATAGAATAAGGAAGAAATTTAAACTTCACCTTAAAACTTTATACATAAGACATTGATGATTGTTCAATTTTTATAATCTGTTTGTGGATTTTGTTAAGAGATTTGACATGAAGATTTATTAGTTGCCATTTAAAACTTTTATATGTTTAGTTAAAAGATTCGACATGAAAATTTATTAGATACCATTGGAAATTTTTGCGTGTTAAGTGCTTATTGAACCGCCTCTGCTTCAGCGCTACATCTTTCTGCTTTTGTGGCCTCTGGTATTTTCACAAAACATGAAAAGTTACAACAGCGTTTAATGACATTATTCCGAGTGTCTTTCTAGACACAAACTTCAACAGTGATTCAGCGCTCACGTCTCCATTATCGCCGCTCTGGGGCTGAAGTGCGCCAACGCCTCCCAGGAGGGGCTCCCGCGAGCCGTAACTTTCTCAGACGAGTCTCCCGGAGAGCGAAGCCGCCCTCGCGTCCCGTGGGACGGCCCGGTTACCGTCATTAGAGGACGGGAGCTGTTTCCCCCCATTTTCCCAGGGAGGCCTTGTAGAAAGGTCTCTTGTACCAGAGTATTGCTTTTACCGCACTTCAGTGTTTAAACAGCGACGAAGCAGGGGCTGTGTCCTGAAAGGCTGTCCGTGTGTCATGAAGTCCTGAGTGGTGCAGAAATCTGTTGTGCGTGAAATGCACCTACATGCCTTAACCCACGAAAGGGGGCTGTGCGCTGCTCCTTCCGACAGTGCACCGGGTGCTTCTGCGCGCGGGGCCCGAAAGCAACCTGACGGCGGCTCTGCGGTGGGGGGNGGGGGGGGGGGACCGCTCCGGAGCCGGCCGCGCCCCCGGGGAGGGGCTTGCCCCAGCTTTGTGCGAATACAGTGGCCCCAATACGTCGCTTGTCGGTATGCCTTTTACGTCAAAGCTTACCTGTGGCTTTGGTATCACATCATTTTAAAAGACTGGCGTGGACAGTGGGTAGGCAGAGCCCGCTCCCGCGCGGAAGCTGGTCCTCGGCCCGCGCTGGAGAGAGGCGCCGCTCAGGGCTGCAGCTGTGCTGTGCGGCAGGCCCGCCTGGCCCGCCCGGGCACCGGCGCCAGCAGGGACGCCACCGCTCAGAG